TGCTTGTGAGACTTGCGGTTAGCCAGTGGGGTGAGACCGAAGTCCTCTTAGTCTGGCTGGTTTGGTTTGCCATAGAGGTAGAAAAACCCCAGCCTTGGGCTGTAACTGCCCTGTTTGAGCAATTTGTCCTGAGTTGGTACTCTCAGTTGGGTTCCGCCAGAACCGCATCGTCACAGGGGATTTGAGGAGGTCGGTTTGGGCATTCATTTTTCCAATGCCCCTCCGGGCCACAGTAATGGCACGTATTGTTCCCTGTCGAGTCAGGGCATGAGTGACCTGTCCCTCTTCCTCTTCCTCTTCCCCAACCTCGTTCTCTTCCACCCCTCATTACCCCACGGCCTCTATATTGATAAGTTTGCAACTGCAAGGCCAGTAGTTTTGTTTCAGAACTTTCTTTCTTCTGCTCTATGCAAGCTATACAATGGTTGGCAACTGTCACTAATTCAGAAAGGGGTTTAGTTTGCCAGCCGATGAAGATCAACTTCAACTGCTGTTGAACCTTTGGCAAGAGTCCTTGAACAAAAGCAGCTCCCACTGCCTCTCTGGCATAGTCAACTGGGAAATCCCTGAATATTATTCAAATACTTTTGTCAATTTCTCTAAATAATCGGCGGGGGACTCGCCTTTGTTCTGTTTACAGTTGTTAGTCTTTGTCCAATCTGTTTTCCTAGGGCAAATTTCTGGAATGGCGATCACGGGGTGATTCCTAGCTTGAGCCAGGGCATTTCCAATTCCAGGGTCAGTACTGGGCCATAGGGCTTGAGTGAGTAGCCGTCGTTGGACTTCTGATGGCAGAACTACTCGCAAGAGTTGGATAACGTCTGCCCATGATGGATTGTAACACTAAATCACTGTCTGGAGTTCCTTTCTAAATTTTTCTGGTTCCTCTCTAATATTTGGAAATTCCTTAATTAAATTTCTAAGGTCCCCTGGTGTCCAGGGGGCATGTACTGTAACCAAGTTACCTCTTTCACCAGGCAATTGCCTTAAGGGGGCCTGGAACACTACTGACGGGTCTTGTCGGCTCTTAGTGTTTAAGGCGACTGGGCTGTAAGTGTCAGAGCCGAGCGAGATATCAGGTAGACCAGGATCAGCCTTTGGCTGCTGATGTGGGTAGGGTGGCAGAGTAGTGGTTTCCTCTCCGGACTGACTGGCCTGTGTAGCCAGTACAGGTGGTGATGGTGTCGCTACGGCCCCGAGGTGCTGGGAAAAAGATGGCTGCGACCACTGCCCGTGTCCTATCGGAGGCACAGCCCACCGAGAAACACTGTTGAAAAAATCCACAATGTCCTCGGCTGTCTCCTCCTTGCTCTCAGTCTTTACTAATTGGGGATATAAAGGAGCCAAGGGGGATTGATGAGGTAGAGGGATTTAATGAGGTAGTTTGGGTAAGGGGACATCCGGATGCCTGACATTTAGTTTTTAAATCCTGCACTTGGATCTTTAACTTTTCCTGGGAGTCCTTTAGACTCCACACTCGAGACTCGTGGACTCTCTTTGTGGCTTCCTCCCACCAATAAACAAATTGTTCCCACTGTATGTCAGGGATTTTTGGTGATTCAAGAGCTCCTCTGAGTTGTATGATCTTATCTAAATCGAAGGTACCTTCTAGTGGAAACTTTAGATGGATTATCACGCATGTAAAAATTCCAGTTATCTAAATACTTGCAAGTCCTAGGACCATAATGCACATACATGTAGTACACCGGGGTGCCTTTCGGCAGTGAGGGAATATTCTTAAACTGATCATTACCCATTTTTCAGGCACACAGGGAAAGTTCGCTGGATCACGGTGTTTGGCTGACCCCCCTTGCTTTCAGAACTCCCGCCTGGGGCAGTCCTGGGGCGGCTAGAATCAGTGTAAGTCCCAGACCTGGTCAGCGAATTAGTAAGGGAAACCCTGTACTTTCTCACACTCCGGGGAAAGAGTCTACTGGGTTACAGGGTTCCACCGTTCAATGGCTTAAGTCCCAAACTTGGTCAGCAGACTTGGCAAGGGAAAGCTTCCGCTGGGTCATGAGGTTCGGCTGACTCCCCTTGCTCTCAGAACTCCCGCATGGGAAAGTCCTGGGGTGGCTGGAGTCAGTTAAGTCCCAGACCTTGTCAGTGGCATTCACTCCTCACTCATTCACTCAGTCTTATTCATTCCTCCATACATGGATGCATCTCATTTAACCATAACCTTAATTCCTTACGTCCGGATTTATCACAACCTTTTCCTTATGTGAGGTGGCAATCTCCTCAGCACCGATATGCAGCTGCAACCTCTCCCTTATTTGAGGCGGCAATCTCCCCAGCACTGCTTTGCATCTGACCTTGTTGCAAAATCAATAAATTTCCATGGTGTGAGCGCAAGAGGGACAGACGGCCCCGCGGGCAGTCCTCCTCCGAACCCCACTAGAGATTTCAAAAGATCTCTTACCTCTTGTCTAGCGCCTTGAGGTTCAAAGGGGAATGGTCCATAGTAATTGCCTCTGTTTCAGCCAGGCACTGCCATCCGAGTCACGGCACCAAATTGTGGAAGAAAACAAGTCCTCACTCTTTCCTTTGTTAGCAACAAGCCAGAGAAAGTTTTATTATGAGCAATTGCAAGGGAAGACTGTGATAGAACAAGGGGGGTCCCCCTGGCCTTAGGCAGTTCTTCCCCCTACAAGCAGCGTAAGGCAAGTATGTATAGGTTCCTGTTACATTCATCAACGGCTAACGGTTACCCCTTGTTTATACAAAACCCCCTCCGGACACCACCTTATCTCAAGGTTTCTGCCTCAGTCAGCATTCCATTCTTATCAACTAAAAGCGAGATGAAAAGCAGCATCTCTAACAACGCAAGAGTTGTTATTGTTAGAGTTACCTTTTGCTCAAACTTAAAATGGCCTAAAGCCATTTACCCCAGACCCTCCTTTTCCCTTAGTTTTCTGCTTCCACACAACCCAGTGTCAAATGATACTCCAGAACTCAAATACAGTAAGATCGAGGGGTGTTCAGCTGTGCCTGTACTATTCCTTTTTCTGGGGAGCCTTTCAACCAGACACAATCTCCTGTGTTCAGCTCCCTCAGGTGTTTGACTCTGTGATGTCGGACAAAGTTTCTCTTCTGATGGCTTTAGGTTGTTCTTCCTCCCTTGGTAGCACTGGAAACTCAGGCCAATGAAGGTTGAAGAGTGAAGGGATGGTTGGGATGATGGACCTCGACTCAGCAACTCATAAGGGATACATCCATTTGTCAAAGGTGCTGGCCTGTATGGGAACAGGGCTAGATAAGGTCTGTGGGTTTTGTAAAAAGCTGTTTTACCATTTTTACTGAAAGTTCCCCAAGGTTTTGTAAAGACTGGGATTTCAAAACTGCAGGAATTTGCAAACTTAACAGTTTCTGAAACGAACTGAGGATCATTATCAGAGAGGACTTGCAGTGGGGTTCCATTGCAACCAAACATGGATTTCATCCTGACCAACTCTCTGTGATGTAGCGGTCAGCACCTTGACTATTTCAATAAATCTTGACAAACAGCCAGTGAATGGAAGAGAGGTTCCATTAGCCATCTGGAGAAGATCTTTCCCCTATGGTGTGTCTGGGGGACAGAAGGTAACGATGGTGCTGGTTGGTTGGTTCTCATGCGAATGCAGATCTCAGAGTTCTCACCTCTCTCTGGTACAAATACATTCATTAGTCTCTAAGGTGCCACAAGTACTCCTGTTCTTTTCACCTCTCTCTGGTACTTGTTCCTCAGTGAGGGCCACTGAACTGACTGTTGAGTTGTTTCTGCGCATTTTGGACTGGCTTGGTGGCCCCTGTGCAGTTTATGCAGAATGTCCTTTTTCACTCTCATGTGGGGATGACTAGTCTGGACCCCTTCAACAACAGCCTGGGGTCTAGGCTAACATCACCTGAAACCACCAAGTGCAGCTTCATAGAGAAGTCTGATGTTGCCCTTTTGTCCAGACCTCTTTGCAGTGGGTCATAACTTAGCAATTCATCTGCCTTTGGCTTTTCTTTCACTCTGGAGGGTACGTCTACACCGTAATCACAGGGTGCGATCACAGCTTGAGCTGACACACTGGCTCTAGCTTTAATCTAGTTAGCTTAGGTATCAGAGCAGTGAAGCCATAGCAGCATGCGCTTCATCAGCTCTGTACAAGCCCATCCAGAACCCTGTGCTAGCCTGGGACTAGCCTGCATTGAAACTTCTGCTGCTGCAACTTCACTGCTCTGGTACCTGAGCTAGGTAGATTAGAGCAGTAGTTCCCTAACTTTTTCCTAACACTACCCACTAACTGCATTTTTCTTTTCTTGTGACCCACCTGTACCTATATGTACCCCCCACCCCAGCACCACAACACTGAATCCTGGCCCAGTACAGACAGGCAGCCCCAGGGTAGGAGAGTGAGCCAGCACCTCATGCACCCACCAGCAGCAGCTTCTGTCCCACAGGGCTGTGCCCGGCTCCCTGCTCTGAGTCTTGTGAGCTGGCACAAGGGGTTGCAATGCCTGTCAGGTTTGTCTCATCCTCCCCTCCATAATTATGGAGGAGCAGCAGGGCCAGACCCTGAGTGGTGCTGCAACCCATGCACCAGGTTAAAACATATGGAGTGGGGAGCTGGTTTTGACTTCTCCTCTAGGCAGCATGGACATTTTCCCAGGAGGCTGATATGCATACATATACTTCGCTGATATTCTGAGCCTCACTCATCTGGGTTATGGCTTGAACATTTCCTGGGTCTGCTCTGACCTCTGTCCATCAATGATTTGACCTGTTTTCTGAGACCTCACCTTATTGATTAATTTTAGACCTAACTTCTCTAGTTCCTTTACTACTGCAAAGATACATTGGCCATGTTGGCTCTGCATTGACCCATGTATGGGAATATCATTCATTTGGCAGAGGATCTCTTTACCCCTTATCACGTTTTCCCTTTGAAGTGTTCAGAGGCAGCTGATTTGCTGAGCAATACTTGATTGAAACAAAAGCCTCCTAAACCTTCTAGGTGTGATGAAAGCCGTCACTATGCAGATTCTCTCTTTGATCTTCTGGACCAGTCCAGATGCCTGATTTCTCCATGGAAACAGAGCAATCAGACTTCCAATGGCTCAAAAACTCGCACACAAGGTTGTAACCATCTCTCAGCCTTTAGCTGTTCTGTCTGCTGTGGGTAGCGAACACTGTCCTGAGCAGGCAGTTGCTGGAGGAGAGAAGGTAGAACCAGGCCTCAGCGGCCTACAGGAAGCCCTGGGAATACACTGTGGTGTGCAGCTGCTCTAGTAGGACAGCCCCCTGGACATGATGTGCAACTCAAGCCTGTCTGGGACCAGTGAATCTCTTGCCAACCACAATAGTTGAAACATCATAAATCAGGTCCCAGAGTCATGAGACTGGCTTAAAAATCATGCAATGTTTTAAAACAATATGTTTGGATTCTTGTCTTTTGCCTGCTGTGTCGGAGCCTTTAGGGGGCCCTCTGTGTTCAAGCTTTTCTCCACAACCACGAGGGTTACTTCATCTCTGTGTTTAAATGAAGGCTGAGACTCTCATGCAGTGTCTGGACTCCAGGAGCTGGGGATTTAGAAAATCCTAACAAAATCATGGGCTTTGGCAACAGTGCAATGTTTCCTTCCCCCCCACACTCACTGCGCACCAGGACACAGGAACTACGCTAGCAGCAGGGGGTTCTTCTGGGAAAGGATCCACCCTCCGTTAAGGAGCAGGAAGCCAGGACTGCTCAGGCCACAGCAGCCCTGAGAGTCAGCTCCCCTGTGTGTGCCCCACCTCGCAGCACGGTCTGGGGGAAAGAGGAGAAGCTGCTCCAGCTGCTCCGGCAGATCCTAGAGTGCAGCGCACCAGCCCCCTGGAACATGCCCAGTGGGACTCAGGGGCTTCCCAACCCAAGCTCTGTCTGCAGACACTGACGGGGCTGTGTGAGAACAGAGCCCCTGGCTCTGGAGATTAGGGGACAAAGAGCAGCCTCCTTGGCAGGTAACCCAGAGAGTGGAGAGGGGAGGACAAAGGAAAGGATGTCATGTGCTTCACCTCTTCCACCGATCAAACCAACTCAAGCGGCATGGGGCTGCTCCCACCTCCCACACCCGGCAGAGACATGGCAAAATGAAGCATGTGCCATGATGGTGGAATCACCCACTGACAAAGCCTGTCTTCAGAAGAGTCACTAATTATGGCTATAGACCTTAGAGACTATAGACAGTCTTCTTGGGAAAACGGGAAGGCCTTACTTCCTGTGAGCAGAGGAGAGCATGTCTAAAAACATCAATTCTTTGTGTGTGTGTGTGTGTGTGTTTAATTTCTCATAAACACTTTTGTTTTTCTATGGAAATCTAAACCCAAAACAACAACATTGAGGAACGTTTTGGTTTTTGAAAACCCCACAGTGAAAAGGGGTGGGTTGTGCTGGCTTGTTGTTCGGTGTCCATCCCATTTCTTTTCTTAGACTCAGGTCTACAGAGTGTCAGTCCTACTGAGCCTCAGGCCATGCTGTCGTCAAGGTTTTGGAGATGTACCCTACCTGTCCTGGACATGATCCCTGCCAGCTTATGTGATGGGGGCTTTGCTGACCCTGCTGCTGGGAGAGAGAGAAACTTTCTCTATCAATTGGATGTTCCCTTCAGTTGCCCAGTCTTCAGTCTGGCCTGAAAGTCTGTGGAACAGGGTCCATTGACCCAAGAGATGGTTTTAACCAAAAAAAAAAAAATGAAAATTTTCACAAACACTTTGACTTTCCCAAATTTACATTTCTTGGTAAAATTTCAGAATTTTTGGGGTTAAATCAGTAAAAGAATACAGGAAATCAGTTGTTCCCAAAACTATATTATATAAAGAAATGAGCTGAAAAGGCAGATGCAGACTTTGCTCCCTTTTTCACAAAGAAACTATTGTTGTGACCTCAAAACTCCTTGGGAGTCATAATTTGATATGGCAGAGAGGAACTTTCTTCTGTTTGCAGAATTTTTTAGCCTATGTGTAAGGGGACTGTTGTGCTGAGGCAGTGTGGAGCTGGAGCTGAGGCTGGAGCAATGTGGAGCTAGGTGCACTGAGCAGCTGGGGAGGGCGAGGGGGACCCTGGGCAGTGGGCCCAGCACAGGAAGATGCCCCCAGCCATAAGCCTTGCAGGCCAGACTTGGAGGGGGATCGTAACTCAGATGGGGTGGGGCGATGCTGGGAAAAGGGTCCTGCCACCTAGAGCCTGAGAGTGTGTGGCCACCGCCAGAGCAAGCGTCTGACCCACAGCATCCCTGCAGCACAGCCAGGGCCTGAGAAGGGGCCTGGAACATGTGAGGGACACTGTCCCCGTGATGTCCCCGTGGCACAGAGTGGGGTTATGTGTTTTCCTTTAATCTTTCCCATTTTTCCTTGTTTTTTTTAAATTGATTGCTGTTTAATAAAGTGTATTTGCTTTGAACTGTATGTAAGGGAAGCATCCAGTGCAGAAAGAGCACCCTGGAGTGGGGACACCCTAGCCCCTGCCCTAAGAGACCATGACAAGGTTGCGGGTCGAGTCCCCCAGGAATCCTGGGCCCAGCCTTGTTGGGGTTACGAGGACTCTGCCACACACGAGAGTGGAAGGGGAGCCTTTGAGGTCTGGGTAAAGGAAGTGGGAGCGAGGACTCGGATCCTTTTGCTAGCCAGTTCCACCGGGGTAGTGTATAAACCAGGAAAGTCACACAATAGCAGGACCATTCCCTCGCTTACATATGTTTGAGACTGTGACGGATCTGCTAAGAAGGAGACTACAACACCCATCAGCCCCTTCTCCACAGCACATCCCTTTCCTCTGGCTGGATAAGAGGAAGAGTCCTGAACCAGGAGGTGGCTGGGCTATTGTAGGAAGCAGTGGCTGTAAGGCAAGTGAGGAGCTACAGAGAGCTGGATGCAGATGGCAGTCCCCAGGAACTGTTTGCAGAGCCACATGTGGAACAGGCTGTGACTGCTGGAGGTTACGTCTGGGTGCGGGTCTGTGAGAGGTTTATGGAGGAGCAGCAGTGGCTGAGCAAGAAGCCAGTGCAAAGTGGCCCCAATGGGGGACACTAAGTTAAGCTGGCCTGGAAACCTGCAAGCTCCTATTTGCTTGGGTAGAAAATGGACTGGAGAGGGCACCCCAGGCACCAGGCACTTTCCTGCCAGCTCGAGTAAAATACCCTTTCCCTTAGCCAGGTGTTGAGCATTGGGACCCTGCACCTGCAAGGCCTAGATAATGAAGCACCTACAGTGTTTGCCTCCGAGTCGCGGTACACCTGGCATGGCACTGGCACCCCAGGGGTTTGGTGTACTCTGGCACTGAGCTGCCCCAATAATTACAGGACACTGGTAATTGCTTCTAATGGGTTAAAGCAGAACTTGTGTTGAGATTAACATGTCCCTCTTGGTGTTTTTACAGTGCGAACAGTGTGAACTTGCTCTGCTTGTGTGTCCAATGCATGTGTTTAAGCTGGTACCCACACCAACATGGCTGAAATATGCAACTTCCCCTCCTGGGTGTTTCCATTCCCCTAATTCCTTCCACTGAGGGTGCTGGAATGTCTCCTGTATGGCCAAAGATCTTGGTGTGCAGCAGTCAGGGGAGTTGGGAGAGGTTTAGTTTTCTGTGGCTAGTAACTGCCCCAAAGTTACTTCCACCAGCACCCTATTACCTTTTGCTGCAGCTGCCATTCCCTCAGTACTAGGAAGTGACTGGGTTGGAAGGAGGAGGCATCTGTGTGACACTCTGTGCCTTGGGGGAACACCCTGCACCCCCATGTTCATCCTTATAATATGATTGTGTGGTATCCAATGCAAAGTTTATCCCGTCGGGTGCCTTCGGAAGGCTCATGATGCATTGAGCATTGTTGTTATAGTAATGTTATAGGGTGTAATTTCATGTATATAATTATGAGGCTTAAAATGTGTCCTCATGGCTTAAAATAAGCCCAGGCAAAACTCTCCAGAAGCAGAGGGGCAGTTCACACCTCATCAGGGCATGTATGGGACAAACCCAGCCCAGCTCACAGGAACAAAGGACACTGGCCTAGGCAGCAACAAAGGATCTGTTGGACTCTCGAGTGAGTCACCCACCTTCCTTTGGTCAGTTTGGGACTACGATGAGATAATGCTCACCTGACTCTGAAGTTGGGGGGGTAAAGCCAAGAGGGAAGAAAGAACATGATAAAAAGGAGAGACGTTTGCCTTGCTCTGTCTCTCTTCCACCTCTATCGACAGACATCACCACCAAAGGGGAGAGCCTGGCTGAAGGGCAAACAGCCAGTCTGTGATGAGAAGCATCTAAGTGTGTAAGGGCATTGAAAGTATTAAGATCAGCTTACAATGTGTTTTGATTTTATTTCATTTGACCACATCTGACTTGTTGTGCTTTGATTTATAATCACTTAAAATCTATCTTTTATAGTTAATAAATCAGTTTGTTTATTCTACCTGAAGCAGTGCATTTGGTTTGAAGTGCGTCAGACTCCACTTGGGATAACAAGCCTGGTACATATCAATTTCTTTGTTAAATTGACGAACTCATATAAGCTTGCAGCATCCAGCGGGCATAACTGCACACTGCAAGACGGAGGTTCCTAGGGTTGTGTCCAGGACCAAAGATATTGGCTAGTGTCATTCAGTTGCACAATCCAAGCAGCGACTGGCCAAAAGTGCTCACTCTCGTAGCTGGGAGCAGCTTACATGCCAGAGGCTGTGCGTGAACAGCCCAGGAGTGCGGGTTCTCACAGCAGAGCAGGGTAAGGCTGGCTCCCAGAGTCCAGGATTGGAGTGACCTAGCAGACCACCAGTCCAGATAACACCAGGGAACGTCACAACCTGAGAACCAGGGCAGCAACAGCTCAGACACTGCAACATCGTAGTCATAACAAAGATCAGAGGTGGGCAACCTGCATCCCACGTGCCTCATGCAGCCCATCAGAGTAATTGGCTGGCGGGCCACAAGACAGTTTCTTTACATTGACCGACCACAGGCACAGCCACCCGCAGCTCCCAGTGGCCACGGTTCGCCATTGCCGGCCAATTAATTGTCTGCATAATCCAGTCTAACCCCCATACACATCACTGGCCACCAAAGTCTCCCCTGCACAGACCCCACCAACCTGAATTAGACCAAAGTGTTACAGTCCTCAGGAGAATAAACTATTGTGTGCCACATGCAGAGATTAGGAGGGACTGAGGGGCACCAATAGCTGAGACCCCCACAATAGCAGGGAATTGATTTGGTGAGCTATACCCAGATCCTGCTCTCAGGGAACTGATGGGCAGGATCCCCTGGGAGGCTAATATGAGGGGGAAAGGAGTCCAGGAGAGCTGGCTGTATTTTAAAGAAGCCTTATTGAGGGTGCAGGAACAGACCATCCCAATGTGCAGAAAGAATAGCAAATATGGTAGGCGACCAGCTTGGCTTAACAGAGAAATCTTCGGTGAGCTTAAACAGATAAAGGAAGCTTACAAGAAGTGGAAACTTGGACAGATGACTAGGGAGGAGTATAAAAATATTGCTCAAGCATGCAGGGGTGTAATCAGGAAGGCCAAAGCACAATTGGAGTTGCAGCTAGCAAGGGATGTGAAGGGTAACAAGAAGGGTTTCTAAAGATATGTTAACAACAAGAAGGACAGGTAAAGGGTGGGGCCCTTACTGAATGGGGGAGGCAACCTAGTGATAGATGATGTGGAAAAAGCTGAAGTACTCAATGCTTTTTTTGCCTCGGTCTTCACAGACAAGGTTAGCTCCCAGACTGCTGCACTGGGCAGGCTCGCTGCCTGTCCCTCATGTTCCTACCCCCTCTCTCCAGCCCACAGCTCCACCTGCCCGCTCCCCAGGACTTGCTCCAGTCTTCCGGAGGGCGTGAAGTTACTGTCCCTGCTGAGTGGCTGTGACATGCCCGGCTGCTGCGGGTAATGTGGAGAGTCTCTGGGCGCCCCACAGGGCTCTGGGAGGCTCAGGAAGGCAGCTAAGACCTGGCGACTGGTGGACAGTGCTGCTCGTGCTGTGGGGCAGGGATGGAAGGCTGGGGTTGTGTCTTTGTGTTGTGCTGTGTACGTGGGTGATTGCGTGTGTGTTTGGATTATTTGCTGTGTGTGGTTGGATTGGGTGTGTGAGGTTGCTTTGTGTGTATGTTTTGTGTCACGCTGTGTGGGTATTTTGTGTTGGGGTTGTGTGTTTGTGTTTTGTGTATATTTTGTGTAGTGCTGTGCCTGTATTTGACTTGGGTTGTGCTCTGTGTGTGTGTTTGCTGTGCTGTGTGTGTATTTGGGTTGGGTTTGTGTGGTTGTGCTGTATATGTTTTTTGTGATATGCTGTGTGTGTGGTTGGACTGGGCTGTATGTTTCCAGTCAGAAGCTTAAAAACTCTCTTTAATGTCTCATCTAAATTTCCCCAGCTTCAGAGCCCAGGAATTAGCCCCTCAATAAGGCTATGAGATCCCAGCACCTAAACAGGGCTACTGGAGGCAGTGCAACAAAAATCCAACCCCAAACTAAATACCCACCCAGGAGGAGAGAGGATGGGAATAGGAAATACCTTTTCCCCCCAATGCTATTTATTTATTTCTGGTGCTTTCAAATGCTGTACAAAATTTGTTTACTTTTTTTTTAAAGGTATTTTTTGCAAGAAGAAAAAAATCAGGAGAAATGATAACATAACAATTGTTACCCTATAATACTGTTGCAAACAGCATGGATACATTTGCTAATTAATTCTACCATTTTAAGTTTCAGCTGTTTAAAGTCAATATGTAAAGACATATGCCACGGTTTTCAGTTTGGCTGGGATGCTTCCCAGTTTTTCTGAAGCCATTTTTTTTTTATAGAAAAGGTAGATAACATGAGGCTTTTTATTATTATTTTTGGACCCACAAACAAGTTGTAATACACAAACTTTCAGTCCAGGAAAATTTCTTTTTAAGGGAATGCTGTGAATTCATTTCAGAAAGTCTGGCTTATTATACACTGTGAGTTATTTGTGAAATTCCTACGAAGGAGGAGGAGTGGGAAAGGCACACCAAAGTTTCCAAGCTGTGGCCTGAGGTAAATAGTTTGTCATAATAGATTTTAGAAAATTAGACTAATGCAAAGCACAGAAAAAATATATAGAGGAAAGGACAAATGCATTCCCCTGGCTGTGAAGTTACGGAATGTTCAGGGCTAGAGAATGCATAGATGAGGGAAGGGTGGACATTTCCTCAGATTTCTCTTCTACAAATAAATCATTATGGATCCCAGTCTGCAAACACATCTCTGCTTGTGAATAACTTTGGAGCCATTCCAGTCTATTAATAAAGTACATATGATAAGCTTTTAAAAAGTTATATACTCTTCAGGGGATGGAATTAGCCCAGTTCTTTTGATTTCTTTCCACAGTAACAATTTTTGGGCTCAATCCTGCACATTACAAGAAAAATCTTTGCTCATGCAAGTATCCTATTGACTTTAAATTGACTTCAATTGAACTGCTGATGGGAGTAAGGAGTAGACAGATGAAATAGGGTTTTCAGAATCAGGTCCTTAAACACGTCTCTGTCAGTTTTAACTTTTTTCTTTTCAAAATATGCAAAGGAATTACACCTTGTTTAGTAATAATCAAACGCCAGTTTTAATTTTAAAAGGAAGAGAGCAGAGTTGAGGAGGGGGGAGAGACGAATGAGCAGATGGCAGGGCCTTGAGGGAGGGGGAGGGGGAGGAGTAGGGTGTCTGGTTTTCAGAACTGAATGTTGGCAACCCTAACTAGCCTCCCAACATATTAAGTGCCCACGGCCCCCCAAAGTTTTGAAATCCAGTCAAAAACCTCTGGCAGTCTGGCTTTGGTCCGCAGTCCACCTATTGGCTGCCCCTGCAATAGACCCTGGGTATATTACACAGAATTGTATGTGTTCATTGAACAGGGGCACTTGTGGTGTGAAAAATGTTTCTCTCGAGTCTGGACCTTAACTAACCTTGACCAAGAAATCTGGACCTTGACAAAAAATAATTAACTACCCTTGGACTGACCAACCCAGGAACATTTGCTAGGATTCCTTCAGCCTGAGAGAAGAAGGGAACCTTCACCCGCTCCCTCTTTAAGGCTCCAGTCCCAGGCCCTAGGCAGTGTCAGCAGCCTGGGTTCCCTGCCAAAGCACAAACATCCACCCTGGGGCCACCTACTCTCTCTGTAGTGATTTCCTTTGTCCCACACATCTGTCTTGAGGACAAAACCTCTGGAACAGGGTAACACAGCCCCTGAGATTTCCTTACTCAGTCTGCAAGGGTCAGTGTTCCCTACTGCACTTCTCAATAATGTCTTTTTATTTTTCTCCTTTTGAAAGTAAATTGTTGTATTTCTGTCTCTTCATATGACCCCTGGCCCTGCTGAATGCAGATGATTGGACGTGCCTTGTCTTGACATTTCTATTGCCATTGCATCCGTGTATAGATGAAGTGACCAAACTGAATGCAGGATTTGTGGTGAAATAGCGATGTACTCTGCATGCTTTCTGATACTGATTTCACTGAAGGTTCATCCAGAGACCACTTCTGGCTTCTCCACTGGTCAGTACTCAGCTCAGCATTGATATTAAACTATATTTGTAAATTGTTATGGAAATAAATATTGCACTGTGTGAACACAATCAGTTTTACTGGGGTTTTCTAGTAACAAGTCAGTGAGTTGCTACTTCTTTTAGTTTTATTGCTTCAGTGAAAACCCAGATTTTTATTAACCCTCCTCTTTTCATTATTTTCTATAAAATTCATTTATTGTCCTAGCAGAAATATTCATCCTCCAAATTTATTGCTAATGTGGAATTCTTTTCACTGTTTGTTTAATTTCAGGTGTGAATTATGAGGGATAATTTCTCATTTATCTCCTTGGAGTCAATGAAGGTTACAGATCTGACCTAGGTTTAGGAACAACCCTGTTGCTCATCTCAGAATATTCTCTTGCTTGTTTTCCACTTTTACCACATGTCTGATAGAACATTCAGTGTAAACCCCCCTCCCTCCCCCACCGTCAAACAGCCTGCCATACCCAGAGGTGGCCCACCCTTGTCTCTTGGTTTGTTGTATCTCAGCCTCTCCTCATGATGAACCCTGGAAACTGCACAATTCATCTGGCAAGAAAAATTTCCACTACAGGGAAGACTTTCAGAAAAGATTTAATATGAAAAAGGCAAAATTCACACTGAAGAAATTATAGGCATAAAAATGCAGGAAACTTCCACCCCCCTTCAAATGATGGAAAATTATACAAAGAAAGTTTATGAACCTTTTCCAACTTCCACTAGTATTTCCTGCAACTTCACACAAATCTTATAAAAACACCTGCTTTGTCTATCTACCAGGCAGGGACTGTCTCTAGGCCATAATAGCAGAGGAAGCATTTCTGAGAAAAAAAGGCAAAGCATTTACATCATCACAAGGTTATTTTTTCCAATCAAATTGTTCTGATATTGATCTCCCAGAGTCACCATGTTCCACATCATCATAACCTGTGTCTCCAGGAAGCGGGAACGGGGTTTCCCTGTCCCTCCCAGAGACAGCTTCACTCCTTAGTGAGTGCAGACTCCCACCTGAAAATGCCAAGGGGGAGACATACAGTCAGTGGATCCACTCTATCGTGATGTGCAGCAGCAGAGCAAGGTGGAGTTTACAGTAGAGGTTCTCAAACTTATTTGATCACCCCCCTTCTTTGTGTCCATTATAGTTGACACCCCCCCCCCGACCACACAAGTACATGCACTGATTTAAAAAAATCAGCATGCAACTCTCACTAAATATGAAAAGCAGTAGGGCATTGAATCAAAAAGAGCCATTTAAGTATATAGCTCTCTGTCCTCCCATCTCTGAAGGCAGCACTACCATCAGCAGCAGCAGAGATGTGAGAGTGGCAACATCATTCTCTGCCATCCTTACTTCTGCGCTGCTGCTGGTGGCAGTGCTGCCTTCAAAGCTGGGTGCCCGGAAAGGAGCCACTGCTCTCTGCTCTGGCTTCTCACGCTGCCCCAGAACATATTTCGTGTGCCACAGTTGAGAATCTCTGCTCTACAGTAATGGTTAGGAATTTTTCCCCCTTCAGTCTTCTGGTGGCTCAATGACAAGTTCTAATCCATCATCTCTGTAAATAGTCTGGAAAGTAAAACCTTTGGTTTCCAGACCAGCTAACACTGCCAAATGAGAACTCTATTTACCTGTTACTTCATGGAGAAAACCCAAGCACTTACCAGCCAGGAGCGCTTAGTTAAGAACATCATAACTTTCACTTTGCCCTAACAGTGAACATAAGCACGTTATTCTTATCAAGTACTAATCAATGCACATTTCATCACCACTGCACCTCCTCTGGGGTGGCCGATAGTGTCTCTGCTCATGGCAAAATTGGGAGGGGAGGGGAGATTTTGGCCAAGGACAATGGGCAAAGCCCAACTTTTACAGGACGTGTGATGTCTTTTTTAACATTTGCACAGCAGTAACAGGACTTTGATTCATAGGATTCTGCCTAAAAGATACACATGCAGTGAACTGGTGGGAATCCAGCACATCCAGGGTGTGGCAGCCACACAAGGATTGGAACCTAGAGGCAGAAGGTTCCTAGGTATCATGCTGGTTTGACCACAAAATACCACCCAGCAGGGACCCTGCTGTTCCTCTCCCCATGGAAGCCTCTGCTTTGAGGGAATGGAGAGACAAGAGAAGGAGAGTTTGTCTCACAGGCGTTGGGTTGGCCAGGGCTGTTCCCTTACTGTGTACCCCACATTTCCAGCTACCCCATTCTGCAGAGACACTGTGAAGTGCAAACAGTTCTCCACTCACCTGTCTGTGAATCCCTGTCATTCACCCCAGTGCCTTGCTCATCATTCTGCCCCAAAGCAGGGTCACCTTCAGGGTCAGACACTTCTCTGGCATCATCATAACCATCCCCTGGGACATCTCCCGGCAGGGCAGGGGCATCTGACGTGAAGATGTGAAGTAATTAAGGGAATACTCACAGTGAAGACAGAATTAAACTACAAGCTGCAGATGCACCATCCTCATTGGTCCCTGGGGATTTCCCAGCACTTAACTTCCACTCTCAGGGCGGGAAGAGGAGTCCTCCTCTGGAACCCTCAGATTGAGGGATTTTACATATCACATTCATTTGATACATTTCAATAGCTGGTTGAGTGGATCCCAGATGACAAGGGGAAGGGGAAGTTCTAGAAAGAGGTGACTGGAATCTAGCCTAGAGGGATTGCTCCACAAGGCATTTGGTTACAATAATTACAAACGTAAATGACTTGGAATTGTCCAGAGTTTGTCTTCGCCTTCCTAAACTTGACATTATTTTTAAAATGTCTTTTCAATGCATTCTCCTGATAAAGTTTACCCCATAACCTGCCATCAGTCTCCAGTGTGCTGACACCACTGGGAGCTGAGCCAGCTAATAAGGGTGCAACATTGGCCCTTGGGTGTAAAATCTCTGTCCCACCCATCCCCCTGTCACAGCGTGTCTGACACAGATGTATATAAGCTGCCATAGCTGCATACCAGGAAAGGCTGGCAGGGAATATTGCTGATATGTAAAGGTCTTTGCTTTGATGCGTTCTCTTTACAGATGGTGAGTAACCTTAGTGCTCACAGCAATGAGGGTCCCAGGACAGTGACCTGAGCCAAGTACAGCGTGGGCAGCTCCTGAGCACACTGCTCCTTCAGTCCCTGCAATGGGTCTCTGTCATGACCTAGGACATCAAACGCTTCCCTACCCCTGGGCCTCCACACAGCTCTTGTAATGCACCTGGTCAGCGCCCCCAGTGTTGCGCCAATAGATAATACTGGTGGGTGAACTTTGTGGTTTTCTTAACAAACCATTATTGTTCCTACTGGGAAACACATTTAGTTTTTCGTCAGGGTGACGTTGCTTCCAGGAGGCGGATTCACTGCTCACCTCGGCCATCTGGAGTCTGGGGGACGTTGGTCAAGGCAGGCTCCTCCACGTTATCGTAATCCAGTTGAGATGCCCCCAGGGAAGCTCCCTCTGAAACAGCAAACACCACACTCAGCCCATGGCACCAGCGGTGTCTCTTCAGCGCAGGTGGCCCTTATAACTAGAGCTGTTTATCATGGCATGTGAGAGGGGAAGTCGCAGGGGGCCCATGGTGAGAAGGGAACGAGTCAGAGAAATACAGTAAAGCAGGAGTCCCAGATATAACTAGGGGCCAATCCTGTCCCTGCAGAATCCAACAGCAGCTCTTTTATGTGTTTCAGTGGGAGCAGGATCTGGGCTTGTGCTGAGATAACAAGTTGGGACATGGGAGCTGCCAGGCCAGAGACGGTCTCTGAATCCAGCTGATCTCCTGTCACATTTGGGAGGAGAAACCTCCCTGCTCCAAGAATTAAAGCTCCCGCTGGCAGGTCACTGGCCTGATCCTTTGTGAGCTCCTGCTCTCCTCTAGCCTCTCAGGCAGCCCAGGGCTCAGCTTGGCAGCGCTCCAGCTTCTCAGCAGAACTGGCTCATCTGTTCGGTGTCTCCTCCCCCAGCCACAGGCTAAACTCCCACAGGGCCCAAATCATGGACTCCCTTGAGAGCAGCTGGGGTAGAAATGCCGCCCTGTATATCATTAGAGATGGGCCCAGGCCAGAAAGTTCAGTTCCAGGGTTTTGCTTCAGCTTGTTATAGCAACAGGTGCCAGCTGCAAAACTGAGATCCAGAGCTGGGGTCAGTATCTGCAAATCCCGCCACCCACAATGTTCTGGTGGGTTCGGATCAGTGAGTTGGGCTGAGCCCATCTGTAATTATAATACAGGACAATCTTCCCCTCTCTCTCTCAGAGGTGAGAGATGAGCTCTGCTGGGCATTGACACCTTCCATACAAAGAGACTGACCCGTCTCCTCCAGCTTCTCGCGATTGCAGAAAGTGTCATAGAAGATCTGTTCTCTGCCCAGATTTGGGTCTCTCGGCCTGAGTCTGCTCCTCCCCATTACCTTGTTCTGATCCAGGATCGTTTTCCCCCTCGCTGTCCCCGGTGTAATACTGCAGCTTTGTCACTGAATCATCTGAATAGGAGACTGGAGAGACAAGAACCAGAAATTCATCACAGTGAGAACAGCTGAATTGTGGGACTATGAACACATCTGGGGCCAGGAGCAGGATTTCCAGCCTCAGTCTATTCCTTCTTCTACAGGACATGGTGACTCACAGCGACTCTGAGCGGTGAGAGGCTGACGCAGACTCCCCAAGAGAAATCTCCATGTCACTGTGGTAAATGTGACTGAGGGGATGCTACAATCTGACCTGAAATATAGTGGGGTGAGTGAAGGGCATCTCTCTAGCTGCTGGTCCAGGGAAGTTCCACAATGGTCCTGGCCTCCTCAGCCGCAGAGGGGACTCCTCCTTCTTAAGGGAAATACCCACCTCCCCCATGAATCAGTCGATCAGCTCCATGGTGTTTCCAGATTAGGCCAAGAAAGGCCCAGAGCAGAGTCTGTGATTCGCTGTAACCGTCTTGGCAGTGGTGCTGTGGGATGCCCTGAGCATGTTCCCAGAGGCCCACCACAGCACAGCCCTTGGGCAGGATGTTCCCATCAGACATTGAGACAAAATGGCACAAAGGGCCGTGACTCGAAGTCATGAGGCTCTCCTGGGCTGAGCTCTCTGCTCCAGGGGCAGGAGGGAGCCAACCCAGCAGACCAGTGGCTGTGATAGGAGGGGGTCACAGAACATCCCCTGCTCCAATGCTCCAGAGAAGTTTTCAAATGATAGTTTAGCCTGGCCCCAGACAGTCGCTTTCCTGACCCCTCACTGGTTACACTCCAAGGCTGCAGGACAAGCAGAGTTACATTAACTGTCCCTACAATTGGGACACTCACTGTATGGTGGGAAGGAAGGAAGCCCATCTTCCTCAGTCTATATCAGTAACTGCTGGTCTCACCACAGACCCAACTCCCACAGCTAGAGCTTGGCAAAAAAACAGATGGTTTGGTTCTCTGGCCATTGGGGGGAAAAAACAAAAAACAAAACAAAACCCAACATTGTTTTGAGCTGAGCCAAAAATGACTGTTGTTGTTGTTGTAATTTTTAGCAAATGCAAAAGTTAAAAAAGAAGTTTAATTTTGACTGAAACCATTTTGTGTTCTTTTGGACATTAGTGAATTTTTGTTTATTTGTTTTTATAGATAAAATTAAAGGAAATTTCTAATGGAAAAATACTATCAAATTGAAAAAAACAAATGTTTTCTTTAGAAAGTGTTGAAATGAAATGAACTGTTCTGTGTGTATTTGGAATAATTGGGTGAAATTGACAGGAATTTGTGAAATGTTTCAGTGTCTCTGAATCTGCATTTTTCACCAAAATATTTTGTAATGAAGACTTGTGCCCAGTTCCAATGACAAGCTCACAGGCTGAAGCTGCAGTGATTGAACTCTGGGTCAGCGTGTCAGATGGAAAGGGCATTAGATAGCTGCTCCCTGTTAAGAGTGAGACACACAGACCTGAGCGACTGAACATCTCCTGCTTCTCTCTCATCAGGTTATAATCAATCTCCTCATACACGGCCTCTGAGAAGGGATCCAAGGGTCTTCTGGAACCTGAAAACAAAGGTCAGGGTTTGCACAGGGTCATTGAAACCGGAGATGAGAAACACTATGGGATCATCCAGCCCCTCCCCCGTGGGTCCAGTCCGAGCCTGAACCCTACAGCACATTCCCACTGCTGGAATTTAAATGAGACAGGTGACAGGGTTTCTTTCCACAATAGCCCTTTGATGATGGTTCCCAGGGCTAATTCGCTGTCCGGAAGCTTCCTCACATTCAGCTTAAATGTTCCTCTTTTTAATCTCATTTTATTATTCCTGGCTATTCCCCTTTGGAGCAGCTTAAATAATTCTTCCCCCACACTGGTGTTTATCTGCAAAATGGTGATAACATTGTGGGTTTTTTTCCCATAGAGTTTAAGGCCAGAAGGGACCATTAGAACATCTAGTCTGACCTCCTGTATAACACAGGCCACTGCATTTCACCCAGATACCCCTAGGTTTGAGTCCAAAGATGCACTTAGACTAAAGCATTTCAGTCCTCAGCAGAATGTGCGACAGGCAGAAAGCAGGAGCGACGAAGGTACCACCAATGCCCAAGGCCCCCGCAATGGCAGGGAACTGACTAGGTGAGAGATGCCTAGATAATCCTGCCAGGAGATCCATGCTCCATACTTCAGAGGAAGATGAAAATCCCCAAAAGTCCCTTTTTGCCAATCTGACCTGAGGGAAAATTCCTTCCTGACCCAAATCTGACAATTGGTTTGACCCTGAGCATGTGGAAAAGACACTAGCCAGATATCTTAGAAAGAGGTTTCTCTGTACCACCTCAGAGGACTGGTCCGGCCCATCCAGTGTCACATCTCCATCTGTAGCTAATGTCTGATACTTCAGAGGAGGGCAAGAAACAAAACAAAGCAAAACTAAACACAAATATGGGGGCTTCCCTGAAGTCCTTCCTGACCCCTGCAGGTGAATGGCTGAAGCCCTGAAGCATGAGATCTGATTATAGGCATTGTCTTACTGCAAAGTTGTGAATGTTACATGTATGTTGACGGCAATCCCGTCCTCTATCTTCTTGCCAAGGAGCTAATCGCTAATGTTTGTATAGTGTATTATAGATGTAAAATCCCCTACAAGTGCCAGATTTGAGTACAATACAGTATAATGCTCCTTTCCAGCACTTCTCCTTCCTCAGATTGTCTTTTCTACTGGATCACTCTCTTCACAACTATTTACCACAGCTCTATTTTTATACACTTTTTTTCCCTTGACAATATTTCCAATTTCTCTAGGTTCCTTTTCCATGATGTCTCTCCTCATGATATTCAGAACCCCTCTGCGTGACAGATACTGCAACCCTAGGCAGTATCTTTGGAAATCACTGTATTAAATGTATGAATGGTTTATGTTCTACTGCATGTGGGAGGGTTACCACAGCTCCTCCAGGAAGAAAAAAACATGTGTGTGTGTGGGGGGGGGGAGGGTTTCTCCGATGTTTTTATCTTACTAATAAGGTATAGTCTGCTGAAAGAGAGCTGGGTGGTAACTTGTAACTGCTGACAACACACTGCTCATAGCCCTTGGGGAGAACGCACAGCATGGGGGCTGGCCTTTAGGCAGACTGGTTTGCTGGGGGGTCACAGTGGAAGGCAGGGGGCTGTGCAGTATTAAAAACCCCTGGCCACAAGGAGGTGGGACAAGGGGTTCCCACCCGGAGACAGGTGACGACTGGAGGCCTGAGTGGGCACTCCTGGAGTGGATCACCGGAGGGTGGGTGGGATACAGATGTAGCTTCTCTGAAACTGTAAAGGTCGCTCGCTAGCATCATCTCCAGATTTCATGGCTGGGCAGTTCCACTGCCAGACAGTTAATGAAATATTAAATGAGAGAGGAGTTAACAGGCATCCTTAGCCACCCCACCCAGCCCGGTATCACCCTCACCCTGACACCCTGCAGTCCCCCTGCGATTGCAGAGGCATTTTGCACAGTGACACCAAGCAGGACCCACCTCTGTGCTGTGCCCTGGCACTTCGCACGTGCGCCCCCAGGATGATTAAGACCAGGCAGAGCAGGGCCCCCAGGATAATGCAGATGATCACGGGCACCGTGACTCTCCCACTGTCGGTCGGAGGGCGGCGCGGGGGACCTGGATGGAAATTAACATGCGACAAGGAGAGATTATCCTGTGAGAGTCAGAGGGCCCCACGGAGCTCCCCAGTCACTCATTGCACGGCCCAGGACAGCAGGTGTAACGGGCTGGGACACAGTCTATGTGCCATGGGGGCAGCTCACAGGCTGCTGTTTAAATCATGGGCCCTGCCCTGTCAGCTGGAACCAGCAGACAGGAATCCTCCTGCTCAGCAGGGCCTGCAGCTCCCACCTGGGTATCCTTCGCCCTCAGATGTCACAGGCCAGGGAAAGGAGCTCCTTCCCTCAGGCTGCAGCTTGCAGCTCCTCCTCTGTGACCCAGCACCAGGGAAATTTAACCCTTGATGGAGAAGGGGGATGCTTTACCTGGGATATTTGGAGAATCTGTCCTCTCTGTCATACCTGCAAAGGGAAAGGGAGGAGAGTTGGAGTCTGGAGCGAGGGGGAGGTGACGTGTTTGTTCCCCGGGGGGAACCTCACCACTGAGAGTCCCTGGTTGTCTCCAGCTGTCACCTCCACAAACTCCCTCACAGCAGCACAGGGCCTGTTTGTTAGTGATTTAAGGTCCAAGTCCCTTGTGCTCTGTGCAGCAATGAGGACTCTCATAACAAACCATCACACTGGGGCATGTGATGGATGCAGGGGTTATATGGGCTGATAACTGAGCCAGTCTGACCCCACAAAGGTTCCACCCCACAGCATCCATGATGCTCCTGCACACAGGAGATGAGAGGTCCTGGTCTTGGACCAAAGGCATAGGGCTTGTCTATACTTACGCGCTGGTTCGGCGGCAGGCAATCGAACTTCTGGGTTCGATTTATCGCGTCTTGTCTGGACGCGATAAATCGAACCCAGAAGTGCTCGCCGTCGACTCCGGTAATCCTGCTCGGCGCGAGGAGTACGCGGAGTCGACGGGGGAGCCTGCCTGCCGCGTCTGGACCGCGGTAAGTTCGAACTAAGGTACGTCGACTTCAGCTACGTTATTCACGTAGCTGAAGTTGCGTACCTTAGTTCGAATTGGGGGGTTAGTGTAGACCAGGCCATAGGGCGGTGAGCTGATCCATCCATCTTCCTGAAAATTACAGCATGTAGCAGAAACATCTCCTTTCACTCACCTGAGCAATTCACAGTAGCATCTTCCTTATGATCACAGTTGCTCTCACCCCAGGGCTTGGCAGGACAGTCCCAGAGAGATGACTCTGTCCCTCTGCAGTTCACCTTCTCCACCCAAATGGGACCAGTCCCCTCGCCAAATGCAGCCTCCCCCAGGGCAGATACAGCAGATCCACAGCCCAGTTGTTTACACACAACGTTAGCATCCGCCATGTCCCAGGAGTCATCACAAACTGTTCCCCAGGAGCCACGGTACCAAACCTCCACTCTCCCCGAGCATCTGTCCTCTCCTCTCACGAAACGTAACTTCTCCTGGTCTGGAAATGCAGAAACCTCACATGTTACTGGGACAGCTGGGAAAGTCCTTAGGGACCAAGAGGGAGACCGTGAGAAGCAGAGATACCTGTGCAGCTTGCAGAGTTCGGGCATTCGGCAAACAGGGTCTGAGTTGGTTTTGCTTTTTTTCCTACGGGGAGAAAAAGCTGAGGTGAATGCACTGAGTTGTGTGTGTGATGTAGGAGTAGAATTTATCTGTATTTTTAAACCCCTAATTTCAGCACTGTATGAACTGAAATGTGAACTCTGGGTCATTTAATACCCAATGAATTTGCTATTCAGCTGTTACTCAGACACACAGGCCGACATGCACATAGACTTGTGCGGGATTCCAGTTCTGACCCAAACTGCACAGCCTGGGCCCATCTCTGATTGTTCATCCCAAAAGGATTAATAACCACAGAGCTGCCTAATGATGGTCTCTAGTAAGAGGCTTTTCTTGGATCTCACACTACCTTATCACACTGCGTAACACCGGTTTCTTTTATAATTAATTGATTAACTTCCATGTTTGTTGTTAATCAGGCAAATGCTTGTTCCTATAAAACATCATGAAAATATGTTCATATCTTGTGTTGAGAATTTACATCTGCCTACACTGAGATGTGAATAACAGTAAAAGTTCTATCCTAACTCTTCAATTAATTGAACACATCATGTATATGTGTGTTTGCACGCGCGCATGCAGCTAGTTTCAGAATTACCAGTGCAAGAAATATGGGTTTCTTCTGCTCGGTTATCACATGACTTTGGATCCCAGGGCTCTGATGGACACTGCCAAAGGGAGCTGTGCTGCTCACTGCATGCAACGTGGTCCAGCCACGTGGGACCAGAACCTGCTCCATATTCCAAGTCTCTTGCAATCTGCCCTCCGTCTCCACAGTTCAGCTGTTTGCAGACAATTGCTGGGGTGACTCCAGACATCTGATTGGAGCAAACACTGCCCCATGTCCCATTGTAGAAAACCTCCAGCCGCCCAGCACAGTCACTGTCGCTCACCAGCCTCAGATCTGTGAATTCTAGAAGGAAATGCACAAAAAGGAAATTTAAATCGTCTGATTCTGAAATGAACTGGGGAGTGAAGAGTGAAATCCCAGCGATGGCTAACGATCCTGTGCATCATTCTGCAGGAGCAACTGCTAGAGAACCACTCCAAGAGTGAGAGACTCTTTTAGACAGCACAGGCCCCTTAGAAATACAGTGGGCATCTCTGGAAAGCCACCATTTACGAGCAGCTACATTGAGATTGTAATAGATAAAGGCCGGGAAGGATTGTGGCATTGGCAGGCCAGATGCCACCTTTTGCCCAGGCTGCAGCTGAGAACTTACAATCTCATAGCTGGAGACCAGGCCAGGTCACCTGTGTGTTAGTTTTGCTCAAAACAGGTATTAGTCTTGTAAGAACGTATTTAGTGTTTAGACTCTACGAAATGGTGGTTAGTTGCTGCAGGCATTAATCTCACTTGTAATGTCTGTGGTCCATGCTACAGGAAAATATGTAAGTTTTGCTTTATAACTGAAAATGTTTGCTCTGAACCTGTGAACTCAGGCACAGGAATGTTCCCCCGCATCCATCCCCTGCATGTAGTACATGCAGAAGACCTCATCCCATCACTTTGAAGGCTGGAAGAGGGAAATAAAAATAATAGACGTGAAGATTTTTCATCTTTTTGGCTGTTTGAACTCTGACAGGGCTAGAGACACCAAACGGAAGCCAGAGACCCCAAAGGGTTACCCCTAGGTCAGCATTGAACGACATTTGGAATTGACAGATCACTACAACTCTGTCACTCCTAGGATGTAAATGGTAACTCATTTGTGTATAGATGATTGCTTTCTTTAACTCTGTAAATAACCCTTTTATTTTTTTCCCTAGTTAATAACACTGTATATAGTTTATTACAGAATTGGCGTCAGGCATTGTCTTTGATGTAAGATCCAGGGTACCAACTGATCTGGGGTAAGTGACTGGTCTCTTGGGACTGGAAGAAACCTGAATGTGGTGTGATTTTTGGTGTAAGTGACCAATTATCACTAAGTCCAGTTTGTCTGGGTGACAAGATAGACTGGAGAGTCTAAGGGGACTGTCTGTGACTCCATGGTAAGATAGATATAGTGATCCAGGACTAAGTTTCCTCTAAGCTGCGTGGCCATGTGTCCGCACAGCAGGCTATGAAGGGCCGCATAGGCACTCAGCCACAGGGGCCTGGACTGGAGAGGCGCCTGTTCCCCAGCCCTGGAGCTGCCACAGTGGGGAGAGGTGCCTCTTCTCTGGCCCCCGAGCTGCTGCACCAAGAGAGGGCTGGGGGTAGTCCTCTTTCCCTGCCACAGCCCCATGGCAGCCTGCACCCCAAACCCTTCATCCATGACCCCACCCCATAGCCCACACCCCCAGCCGGAGCCCTCACCCCCCCGCCATACTCCCAACTCTGCCCCAGCCCTGAGCCCCCTCCTGCACCCTGAACCCCTCATCCCTGGGCCCACCCCAGAGCCCTCACCCCCAGCCAGAGCCCTCACCCTGCACACTGCCACCCTCTGCCCTGGCCCTGAGCCACCTCCCACACTCCGAAAACCCCTTGGCCTCAACCCCGCCACACATCACCTCTATACTGGTGCACATAACAAATTTCATTCCGCACATGGATGTAAAAAATTACAGGGAACATTGGTCCAGGAGTTCACATCTGTTACTGTCTTGGTGAAATCTACTTATAGAACACACCACCAGTTTGGGGTGTTGCCTTGTTCCTCACCATCTGCCCTGAGGTGGGCACTCAGACTCGTGAGCCACTCCAGACAGCGTGACAGGGATCATGCAATCAAATAATTTGACCTTCTGTAAAACAGCTGCATAGAGCCTAATAACTTGAGTTTGACGTAAGCATAGCTTCCAGAAATGCATCCAGTCTAAACAGGAAGACTTCAAGAGATCCGGAATGCACCATTTCCCTGGTAGTTTGTTCTGATGGTTAATCACCCTCCCTGTTAAAAACGTGGGCTTTATTTCTGATGTGAATTTGTCAGGTTTCAGCTTCCAGCCATTGACTCTTGTTCTGCCTTTCTCCATTAGATTAAAGAGCCCTTTAGTAAGTGGTATGTTGTCCTTGTGACGGAACTTATGCACTGGAATCAAGTTACCTGTTGATCGTTTTGATGAGCTAAACAGATTCAGCATCTTAAATCTCTCACCGTAAGGCTTTTATTCATCAGATCATTTTTGTGGCTCTTCTCTGCTCCCTCTCCAATTTTTGTGGACATCAGACCTGGACACAGTATCCCAGTATCTGTCTCACCAGTGCCATATACAACAGTAAAATTTAGTCCCCACTCCTACTCTATGCTCCCCTGTTTATATATCCAAGATTCACATTAGCCCATTTTGCCACACAAGGCACTGGAAGCTTGTGACATTGCAGATTAAAGAGGCCTCTACTTACCAGTGTTTTGTCCCTGCGCAAGTACTTATACACTTGTGATGTTGCACTCTATATGATTTTATGAAAATATGCTAATGAGTGTGAATATGATGTAACTGGAATATGATTCATGCAAAAGGTCTCTTGTAAGGTACCATTACAAAGCTTATAATCTACTGAGTGTGGTCATCCTATTTGTATGTATGTATCATTCTTGTATCTGAAACTAGAAATATGAAATATAACTCTGAGGGCCTATTGTAATTATGCAAAGTGTGGGCCATTAATGGTGGTTTGGAATCTTGATGGCTCCCATTAACCAGGATACTTGACTGTAGATTGCTCTGTTTACTTGTAAGTCTTCCTGTATACCTGTGTGCTGGCAAATGGGTAATGAAGTCTTACAGTGACATGTGATCATGTCACCTGAACTGGAATCCATCTTTAACCTGGTGCTTTTTCCATTTAGAAGGAGGGGTGGGAACCCAGAGAGGGACAAAGGATTCCCGCTTTGTGCAAAAGATATATAAGGGGGTGGAACAGAACAAAGGGGGCTGCAATCATGATAAATCCCCTAGCTACCACCTGAGCTGGAACAAGGGCTGTACCAGGGGAAAGGATTGGGCCCAGACTAGGAAGGCATCCAGTCTGTGAAAGAAGCTTATTGAAACATCTTTGAGGGTGAGATTTTATCTGTATTCAGTTTTTTTCCTGTATTAGGCTTAGACTTGTGTGTTTTATTTTATTTTGCTTGGTAATTCACTTTGTTCTGTCTGTTATTACTTGGGACCACTTAAATGCTACTTTTTGTATTTAATAAAATCACTTTTTACTTATTAATGAACCCAGAGTATGTATTAATACCTGGGGGGGGGGGCGTCAAACAGCTGTGCATACCTCTATCAGTGTTATAGAGGGCGAACACTTTATGTGATTAACCTGTATAAGCTTTATACAGGGTAAAACAGATTTATTTGGGATTTGGACCCCATTAGGAGCTGGGTATCTGAGTGCTGGAGACAGGAACATTTCTTAAGCTGTTTTCAGTTTAGCCTGCAGCTTTTGGGGGATGTTGTTCAGACCTGGGTCTGGGTTTGTAGCAGGCAAGCCTGTCTGGCACAACCAGGCAGGGCACTGAAGGCCCAAGCTGGCAGGGAAAACAGGTTCAGAGGTAGTCTCAGCACATCAGGTGGCAGTTCCCAAGGGGTTTCTATGACCCAACCCGTCACATGCGCCATGTTCAGTTATTTCTCCACTAGGACCCTACATCCTTTTCAGTCACTGGTTTCCATGATACTGTCTCCTTCAGATACCTGAGATGCAGCATTCTAACATTAGGGAAATCTTGCAATATCTCCAGTATCTCTGAGTGGGAGCTGAGGACTTTCTAATGGTGACCTTGGTAGGTAGTTACAAAAGGGAAAGGGAGGCAGAGATAGTCAGGGAAAGTATCGTTCTCAGCAATCTCCTTAAACATCTGCCCCCTCCATTAAATCCCCTGGTAATACGGCTCACAAGAGCATTCACAGAACAGACCTGAGCAGAGAACTCCGGCGTCCTCTTTGTGTCTGCAGTTGTGCTGGCCCCAGCCCCTGGAAGGACACGCCCAGAGATTGGATTCATTCCCAGAGCAGTTCACATCATCCAGCCAGATCTGCCCGGATCCTTGCCCATAATGAGCAGATACAGTTGCATTGATGGCACGTCCACATCCCAGTTGTTTACAAATGACATTGGAGTCTGACAGATCCCAGGAATCATCACAGACTGTCCCCCAGCTGCCGTTGTAATAAATCTCCACTCTCCCGGCGCAGCGACCTGCCCCATTCACCAGTCTGATCCGCCTGCTCCCTGCAGGGATAGATGCCAGCTGTTAATATGTATTTTTCTACTGAACAGAGAATGTCTGTGAGATTTGAAAATGAATCACCTGAGCAAACAACACTGACGTCCTCAGCAATTCCTGCCTGGGCTGTCTCAGACGTGGAGTTGTCACAGAGAGTCAGACGAGTCTCGTTTCCTGCACACTGGACCCTTCTCAGCCCCACAGGGCCCGTTCCTCGCTCAGACTTAGGGGGGTTATAAGCTTTCTCAGCGACTCCGCACCGGAGCTGCCTGCACACAACGCTGGCATCGTTCATGTCCCAGTGGTCATCCAGCACTCTGCCCCACGCACCATGGAGGGAAATCTCAACTCTCCCGTCGCACCGGCTCTCTCCATTCAGCAGTCTGAGTGATTCAGAGTGACCTGGGCTCAGGAGAGATGGGAAATACACTGAATAACACTCAATGTTATACACTAGAAATAATACAGAGTGAGCATGAAATTATGGACTGTTTCTCCATAAGAAGGTATAAGCCAGTGATCAGAGTGTGTCACAGTGTTAAAGGGAACAACCTCTGTCAGAAGACACTTATTCTTTTGAATCTATACGTGGAAGGTGCTATAAGGATTGTAAAACTCTGAGCTTGACAGAGGGGCTTGCTAGCAGACCCTGTAAATGAGTGAGCGAGGGAATTCCTGCAGGTTCCTGATTGGGAAAATAGTCTCTGTGGGGGGTGGAATGGCTGCTGAGGTTTTTAGTCACTTTATCCAGTCTTAAATGCCTGGAAGCCAGTGAATAGTGTCTGCACAAGCACTTAGCAGGTGGGTCGTGCATGGTTTAGGAAAGTTTGCCTTGAGGGAGTTTGGCCAATGGAAGAGCAGGGTTCATGGTGGTCAGGAAGAGGTTATTGTTGGTAAATTCCCTTAGTTCCCTCTGATCTTTGCTTGGTAGGTGGCAACTTTCTTGGTTCCCCTGGGTCCAGTGCAGGAGCTCCTAGTGTGAGATAGTTCCTGGCACTGGTGGTTCTGATGGGAGCTGTCCCCTGAAGTGTGATGTGATCTCTGAGCCCAAGGTAAGTTTCCAGCTGATCAATTCACACCACACTAAGCAGGTTGTGTGTGGGGCGGGGAAGGGACATTCTCTGTTGGTGAATATTGTGACTTCCTTGGGATGTGAATCTCAGTCTTTGCGTGTGTTTCAGAATAAGTCAGTCCTACAGCAAGATGATAAGTTAGGAATTACTCACCAAGTTCAGACCCAGGTGCAGCCAGGAGAGACTGACAATGTTAAAAGACAACAGCAGAGTCAGAGCAGGGGATACCCACTGGCTGTGTCAGGTACAGTGTGTACTAGTATGGCAACCTGACGGGTGCAGTGTGTGTGCACTGGATCCAAACAGCTCAAGGATCTTGCTAGCCAAATAACATTTCAAGGCTAAGAGTGAAATCCTAAGAGTAAAACCTCCATTGACTTCATCGGAGCCAGGAGTTTGCCCTAAGACTGTAGCAGGAGAATGCCTGTGTGCAGCTAGTGTAGTGCAGAGGTGTAACCACGGGTGGGCCACAGCCCACCCAGTTAGCATCCAGGCCCAGCCAAATCAGGGCCAGAGGCCCCTGAATCTTATATAGGCGCCTATTACCTCCCACCACCTGTCCAATATTTTACATTTGCTATCTTTTTACCTTAGGCATGCCCCTCAGCCTGTGTGCCGTAGGCTGCCCCAGCGTTGGGTTCCATCTGAGCGGTAAGGGCTGGCTGGAAGCGGTGAAGGGAGGAGACCTCCCCTTCCTTCTGCCCCCTCCCCAGAGCACTGGATCCCTCCTGCACCCCTCCCTGTGCCCCTCCCATCATTGTCCACACCCGAAAAGCCGGGGCCCAACCAAGTTTCCTGTCCTAGCTATGCCACTAGTGTAGTGTGAGGGTAGAGAGTAGATTTGGGGCTTTCCGAGGAGGTTCATGGATATAACTGGGTACCACAGCCCCTCAGGAAGGCCAGATGGGATCATAGCAGATGGAGCTCGTACAGAAGGGACCAGGTGTTTTTCCTTGGAAGGGATTCTCTTTCCAGCAACTGTAGGGAGAAATCAGCATCTTCATGTGTTGAAGAGTTCCCTCCGAGAACCAGGGTATGGGCTGGGTAGCTAGTTAGGAGAGGCAGGGCAGGGCTGCAGGGAATTCAGTTAGGAATGCAGGTAGCAGCCTCTGTGAGAAGCAGGAGAACTGGGAGGTGAATAGCCCACAAGGTACAAAGGTATTAGCTGTAAAGAGGAGAGTAGACGTCTGTTGAGAGTGCTGGGCAAGACCCTATAGCCTTAGACATGGTGTGTAATGGCACCAGTGACTCTGGGCTCTGTGGGAGACAGTCCTGGAAGCTACGTGTACATTATTAGGAAGAAGGTTGAAATCCAGGACTTCTGCAGTAGGTTTCTCTGTAAGAACCCCAGTTCCAGCCAGTCAAGAAGCTCTGTGGAGTACCCATTAAGTACTGTATTATAATGTGTGGTAAACCCAGGACAAAAGGCTACGGGGGGGAGGGGGGGGTAGTAATTAGTCTCAAGGGGTTAAAAGGCCTCTCCCAAACCACGGAGGAGAGATAACCAGGGGGAAATAAGGTTCAGCTGAAAAAGGGGTTACCAGGGAACTAATTAGGTTCAGCTGGCCAGTCTGGCTCCAACTGCTTGAGACCTTTTTAAACCCTCCTTGGCAGGGGGGGGGGGATGAGGAGAGAGTGAGAGAAGCAGGGAAGCTGCCAGGAGGCTGGGTGTAGCAAGTCTTTGAACCCTTCCAGCAAGGAAGGCTGCACTCTGTCCCCAGAAGGGAAGAAAAAACAAGCACAAGGGACTGACTGAGGGAAGGAATAACCAGACCCTGTGCTACCTGTGAGGATTTGTTTTGCCCAAGCCTGTGTCTCCAAGGCTAAAAAGGACTGAGCCTGCTGAGGAGAAGAAGGTACTTTGCCACAAATGTAGTATTTCAACTTTTAAACACATCCAAGAGATTGGGATGTGGAAATGGAATGAGAATTTTTGTTTAGATTCTAACTAAAATGTTGATTCATTTCAACTTTTTGAAAATGAAACATTTAATTTTTCTTTTCATATTTGCGTTTACTGGTTTTCCCCTTATCTCTCCCCCATTTTTTTCATCTTTTCTTCCACTGTAAAAAGTTTTTAAAAAAAAAAAAAAAGTGTAATAAAGGAGGGGGGGGAAATATTTTTGAGGGTTTTTTTTTAGGTTTACCATATGTCTGGATTTTCCTGGACATGTCCAGCTTTTTGGTCCTCAAATCCCCGTCCAGGAGGAAATTCCAAAAAGCCGGACATGTCTGGGAAAATAGGGAGGGGTCGTGGGGCTTGGGTCGGGGCTGGAGCTGCTGGGGCCGGCTGTGCTCAGCCGCCAGCTGGTGCCGCTCGCCCAGGGCCGGGGCCAGGCCGGAGCCGCTCGACCGGAACTGGGGCCCGAGCCGAGACGGAGCCACTGGGGCCGGCGCCGCTCGGCCGGAACTGGGGCCCGAGCCGGGCTGGAGCCACTGGGACTGGGACTGGGGGTGCTCGGCCGGGGCCAGCGCTGCTTGGCCAGGGCTGGGGCCGGTGCCCGAGCCAAACTGGAGTTGCTAGGGCCGGAGCCGCTCAGCCGGGGCCGGAGCGCTCGGCAGGAACCGGGGCTGGCGCCCCAGGGCCCGGGCCGGAGACGCCGGGGCCAGAGCCTCTTGGCCGGGGCCGGCCGCCGGAGGGAGTCGCTCGGCCGGGGGGGGGCCGGACTGGACCGCGCCTCCTCATGCCCCCCCCCTCCGCCAACGCCCCAGCTTACCTGCTGCCTGCCTGTTTCAGGCTTCCCATGAACATTTGATTTGCGGGAAGCGGGGGAGGGGAGCAGGGGGTGGAGGCGGAGTTGGGACGGGGACTTTGGGGAGGGGGCGGAGTTGGGGTGGGGAAGGGGCCCCGTGGGGTGTCCTCTTTTTGGAATATTAAAATATGGTAACCCTATTTTTTTTTTTCAACTGGAAAGGTGTGAAAAAAAGTTAGAAAAAACCAAAGTGAGATAAAGTGCTACTTTCTCTGTGGCATGCTACCAAAAATATCCTCAGGAACTCAAGTGAGAGAAGGGAAATGTTTATTTTCAGCTGTTTATAATTCAGCCAATCCTGGAAGGAATTTCCCTGCACTAGGGGAAGGCACTTCTCTGGCCCTAGCATTACCCCTTCCCAAACTGCAAAGGCCTGCTGCAAACAATGAAGGCATAAACACTTCTCAAGAAGGCGCTGAGAGTATTTTTTAATAGAAAGTGTGAAGCAACCTCCATATTGGGAATTGCTAGTAGCTCCCCCTCTAATTACTATAGCAGTGATTTGGAGAAGGATGAGGACAGTGAATTGGTGACATTTATGAAACCCAAAGGCCAAAGTGCTGCCCCTGCTCCACTGTCCTGGGAAGGACAGAGTTGCTGATGTTTTTACTGGAGAATCCAGGGCTTTCCCGGGACATCACTATTCTTTTTGTGATAATCATATTTACTTAAAAATAAAATTAAATACATTTAACATTATTATACGTGGTTTAGGATCTAGCTCCCCCTCCCCTTGCTGTGCCCTGTGGTTCCCCTGCTCTGGGGTCAGTGTCACACACTGAGGGGCAGGAGTCATTAATCCAGCATTACACTTACCTGAGCAAACCACACTGGCATCATCATCATGGGAGCACTGAGAGGCCCCCAGGGCAGTAACAGGGCAATACTCCAAATGGGGTTCAGTTCCTTTACAGTGAAATGTGTCTGTCCAGACAGAGCCAGTTCCCCTCCCATAATACCCTCCTCCTGGAGCCGATACAGCGAATCCGCAGTTGAGCTGATGACAGAGAACGTTGGCATCTGGTAAATCCCAGCGTGAGTCACAGAGGGTTCCCCAAGCACCAAGAACCTGGATTTCTACCCTCCCTGAGCACGCTGTGCTGCCATTCACCAGACGGAGACCTGTGTGCCCTGGAGAGAAGGGAGAAGGGGTTTAGAGAGGGAGCCTTGGAACTATTTTATACCAAATAGTTAAAGAAAGGAAAGTCAGGGGGGATTTGACCCGACTCTAATTATCTTGGATCATTTCCATTTTAAAATAAATTGGTGCCATCCTATTACCCTAGCTCTCTACACAGTGAGATCAGTATATTGCTTCACCCTAATCTAAAATTCACATCACTGGGATTTTAAAGACTTTGCACTGAATTCTTACCTGAGCATATGGCTCCAGCATCATTTGCGTGTGAGCACGTCTGACTGATGTCCAATGTCCTGGGACAGTACGCATGGTGGGATTCATTCCCCACACACTGGAACGCTTCAGTCCCGATTGGTCCATGTCCTTCTCCAAAGTGAGCTCCTCCTGGGATAAACAGAACTATTCCACATTGTAGTTCATTACAGATAACGTTGGCAGCTTTGAGATCAAAGTGGGCATCACAGACTGTGGTCCATGTTTCTCCATCTCTTATTTCCACACGTCCCGAACAGGCACTATGCCCTCCAACCAGCCGGGGCTTAATGTGTCCTAGAAATTCAATGGAGCAGGAATTTACAAAGAGGCCTCAGGGAGTTAGATGCTCGACGGCCACAAAATATTGGCTGAACACCAATCATGGTTGTGGCAAAGTGCAGGCAGCAATTAGAAATAAAAAAGCAATATATAACAAATGGAAAACAGTGGTATTACATAACAATCAATATACATTAGATGTTATGATGATAAGGGAAGCTAATGATATCAGGGGAGAAATCTCTAAGGAGACTCACAAGGCATTTTTAAAGTATACTAGGAACAAACAAAAAATCCTAACTGTGGTGGAGTTCAACTGCAAATCAAGATGTTAAAAATGTTAGCAATGATGCAGAAAAGGCAGAAGTATTCAATAAACATTTCTGATTTTGGATAGAAACAGGATGTATCATATTATGTGAAAAGGATGAACTACTCTTCAGTCCATTGGTAACTCAGGAGGAAGTTAAACAGCCTTTACTATTTTTATATCAGCAGGCCTCAATAGCTGATAAAACAACAGAATAAGAGAAATGTAGGGTTGGAAGGAACCTCAAGTGGTCATCTAGTCCATCTCCTCACACCAAGGGAGGTTTAAGTATACCTGGGCCACCCCGATAGATGTTTGTCTAACTTGTTGTGCAAAGTCACCAATGATGGGGATTACACAACCTCCCTATGTACCCTGTTCCAGTACTTAATTATCCCTATAGTTAGAAAGTTTTTTCTAATATCTAATTTGAATCTCATTTGATGCAATTTAAGATGATTGTCTAGTCCTACCCTTGGTGGATATGGACAACAATTGACAAACAATCTTTCAGTTATTTGAAGACTGTTATCAGTTCACCTCTCAGTCTTCTCTTCTCTAAACTAAAAGTGTCCAATTCTTTCAACATTTCCTCATAGATCATGTTTTCTAAACCTCTTACTCTGTTTGTTGCTCTCCTCTGGACATTCTCCAATTTGTCCTTCACTTTCTTAAACAGTGATGAGCAAAACTGGACACAGAACTCCAGCTGAGGCCATACCAGAGCTAAGTAGAGCGGGACAATTACCTCCTGTGTCTTACATATGACATTCTTGTTAATACAATTCACAATGACATTTCCCTTTTTCACAACGGCATCACAACTTTTCAGATTGTGATCCACTAAAACCCCGAGATCATTTTCTGCAGAACTGCTGCCTACTCAGTTATTCCATATTTGGGGTTTTTTGCATTTGATTTTTCCTTCCTAAGTCTAATACTTTGCACTTGTCTTTATTGAATTTCAATTTACTGATGTCAGACCAATTTTCCAGTTTATCAAGATCATTTTGAATTTTAACCCTGCCTTCCAAAGAGCTTGCGACCCCTCTCAGCTTCATGTCATCCACAAATCGTGTAAGTGTATCTCTACTCCATCACCCAAGTCATTTACGAAAATATTGAATAGTACCAGACCCAGGACAGTGTTATTTTGTATTTATCCATAGGAACACAGCAATCACAGAGAAAAGAATAAAGCAACTGAAGGCCTACAGGCCTATGTCTTACCTAAAGCTCAGCTTTTCCCTCACAACCTGGGCTGCCTTAGCTTATCCCAGGAACCCCTGCTTCTGGGGATTGTGTTTCAGTCTCATTCCCTGCAGACCCTGCCTCACCCCCTCTGTTCATCAGGGCTCTCCTGTTAACAATTCCCAAGCTCTCTGTTTAAGATTTCCCACCTCAGGGGCCCATCCCAAGGAAGGGGGCTTAAAATAAATAAATAAAAAATAAAATGAGCTTGTGCTCATCTTGGCCAGATGCAAAGGTTCAAAAGCCCTGACACCTTTATTGTCAGTTAAGTACCAGTAACTGGGTTCTATAAAACCATTGTCTGCCATCCTGGGACATGTGGGGAGTTCAGAGGGAATCTGAACCTTTGAATCTCAGCAGGAAATGTGAAAATAGCAATAAAAGGAAATTCAGATATTTTCCATGTTCTTTGCAGGGGTCATAGTGGACAAAGAACTGAACAAAGAGCGTCCCAGTGTGACGCTGCTGCAGAAACGGCGACAGTGATCCTTGGATGTATAAACAGGGGAGCAATGAGTACAGCTGACAAATGCAGGATTTCCAGTATACCGGAAATTTCACTATTTTAAAATTTCCTGTGAATTGGAAATCCAGCTAAAATTTTGTTTTGGAAACTCCAGCCCATGGCGTATCCAACATGAAATTTGCTCCCAGGACCCCCAACAGATGCGGAATGACACTGACATCCTTGTCAGTTTCATGACTGTTAGCACCAGGACAAGCATGTCAATTTCTCACAGCCACTGCTGGGGCTCTGGGGCAGCCTCATCATGTGGCCTGCCCTGGACTGGGGACCCCCGGGCTTCCAGACTCCTTGGCCAGCTGGCAGCCTAAACAGGCAAATAGCCCAGTCCAGGACATTCTGCAAGGCAGGGCTGCCCCAGAGCCACAGACCCTGGGACACTGGAACCCATCCCAGGACTTCCAGGATCCCTGATGCAGGCCCTGGAGTTGAGCCTTGGTTAGAGCTGGGGCTCCCAGGGCTTTCAGGTTCCTATCCCATGGCAGAGAGCCTGAAAGCATTGGCAGGGCTGCTCTGGAGGTACAGACCCTAGAAAGTCTAGGGTCTCCAATTCTGGGGCAATCCGTACCAAGCCCCGGGACAATCTGCATGGCAGGACTAACAGAAGCCACCAGGGAACCTGGCTGGGAACCAGGGACATTTCCACCAGACCCTGTTTGTGGTTTCAAGAAAGTTTGTTGAACCCGATTCACTTTCATGATAAATGTTGAGTTCAACAAACTGTTATTTTCCAGTGAAACTCTGGTTTGCCAGATAATTTCCAACCTGCTCTAGTAGGGAGGTGATTTTTGCTCTTTGTACAGCACTGGGGAGACAGATACGACATCTGCTTTCAGTGTCCACATTGTAAGAAGGATGTTAAAAAAATTGGAAAGGGCGCAGAGAATAATGATTCCAGGGCTTGAAAATGTGCCCTGCAGTGAGAGATTTAAGGAGGTCAATCTGTTTAGCTTATCAAAAAGTTGACCTAGAAGTGTCTTGATTGCAGTGTATAAGTATCTTTGCATGGACAAAACACTGCATACTAAAGGCCTTCTTAATCTAGTGGAGAAAGGCATAACAAGAACCAGTGGATGGAAGTTAAAGCCAGATAAATTCCTATTAGAGGTAAGGCATACATTTTTCACAGTAATACCGATGAAACATTGGAACAAACTACCAAGGGAAGCAGAAGATTCTCCACCTCCTGAAGTATTCAGAACAAAATTGGATGCCTTTCAGGAAGATATGCTTTAGCCAAACACAAGTTGAGATGAAGTATAGGAGTAACTGGTTTAAATTCTATAGTCTTTGTTACCCAGGAGGTCAGACTAGATCTAAAGCTCCCTTCTGGCCCTAAAATCTATAGAGCTATGAATCAAAACGAAAGTTAAAATCAGCAAAGTGAAGCATTCAAACATTCAGAATGCCAGACTTGTACTTGCCTTTGAAACCTTCATTAGTCCCTTTTGTGACTCTGCTTGGAGGTTCATTGTCCAGAACATGAACCTGGCAAAAACGTGTTTGGTGTTGCAAAAACACAAACACTCATGAGAAGTGCTAGGCACTGGCACTTGCATAAACACATTCCAGAAGGGTAATACCAGAACACCTTGATATAGGGTTATGGTGTTGTCATAACTATAAAGGGAAGGGTAACAGCCCTCCTGTGTACAATACTATAAAATCCCTCCTGGCCAGAGACTCCAAAATCCTTTTACCTGTAAAGGGTTAAGAAGCTCAGGTAACCTGGCTGACATCTGACCCAAAGGACCAATAAGGGGACAAGATACTTTCAAATGTTGGTGCGGGGGGAAGGCTTTTGTTTGTGCTCTTTGTTTTGGTTGTTGTTCGCTCTTGGGACTAAGAGGTACCAGACATCAATCCATGCTCTCCAAATCTTTCTGAACAAGTCTCTCATATTTCAAAATGTTAAGTAACAGCCAGGCAAGGCGTGTTAGTTTTATCTTTGTTTTCTCAACTTGTAAATGTACCTTTTGCTAGAGTGTTTATCTCTGTTTGCTGTAACTTTGAACCTAAGGCTAGAAGGGGGTTCCTCTGGGCTCTTTAAGTTTGATTACCCTGTAAAGTTATTTTTCATCCTGATTTTACAGAGATGATTTTTACCTTTCTTTCTTTCTTTCTTTCTTTAATTAAAAGCCTTCTTTTTAAAAACCTGATTGATTTTTCCTTGTTTTAAGATCCAAGGAGTTTGGATCGGTGTTCACCAAGGAATTGGTGAAGGAGTCTCTCAAGGCTACCCAGGGAGGGAAAGGTTTTTTGGGGGGGAAAACAGAGTTTCCCAAATAACTCATAAATCATTTGGGTGGTGGCAGCAAAAGCAGATCTAAGCTGGTAGTTAAGCTTAGAAGTTTTCATGCAGGTCCCCACATCTGTACCCTAAAGTTCAGAGTGGGGAAGGAACCTTGACAGGTGTAAACACACTTCCTAATGATGATACAGGAACACACTAACCCCTCCTAATGGTAAGGTCAGGATGACAGGGTGATGGATAGAGATGTTTTGATCCAACCAAAATGTACCAGGTAAAGGGTGGTAATTTAACCACGTCAGAGGGACAAGACATAACTGGTTTCTATCAGAGTGTAAAAGACAAGTCGCAGAGGGAGTCTTCTTCTGGCCTCGGCGGGGGAGTGGAAAGTCTCGCCACTCACTGAGCCAAGTCCATTCTAAGGGGCATAGATGTGCCAGTGTAACTGTAGACATTGATCCGGGGAGCTAGTACTGTGTTTTGTCAGCAATAAACATGGCCGAGCGCCTTCACCACTGAACCGCGTCTGTGGTCTTCTTCGGCAGTTTGATCAAGACCTGCTCCATGATACCAGTCAGCTCTGTGTTCTTGGGGAACCAGGGTGCAGTATCCAGCCTGACTCATGAAAGACACCCCTCCACCCCCAGCCTCTGCTTAAACCAAAACCCATCAGAGGAAAA